CAACGTAGGCATGATCGGTCATTCCTGTAGAAGAATCTGCTCGTGGGGTTGTGCGCAGTTCCAAATAGCAAACATTGTCAGCTGCAAACTCTTCAATGACAGTTTTCGTTGCCTGGAAAAAGAAAATAAGGGTGGAATTGTACAGCAAATAAAAATGCACTCACAGCTGGTGAACTGGTGAAGAGAGGCTAAAATGCACTACTCTACCCTATTACATTAATTAATGGCATCTTCTTATTCTTAGAGTGTATGAAGTATTTGTCTCTACAGTGCATAAATATCAACAATACATCACTACATTTCCCTGAACTATGCCTTGCTTGTCATCAGTAATATTTCAAAAGCAATGCTCTTATATGCTTTCGCAAAATATTAGCAACAGATTTATACATTAGAAGTACGTCAACTGACGCCTAACTTCACCAAAACAGGTTTAACAGCATTACTGTCCCTTGCTTCCATATGTTTAGTCGTCCATTTATGCACTGCATGCAGCACTATAGCACAGTTAGTACACTGATGCAAATCAGTTCATTCCTGGGTATTTCTTTATTCTGAGCACTCAAGTAGCAGTAAGATATTATTTTCTTTTTACGTAATCATATCGCCTTACGTAGGTGCAACTCCTGAGTTTTCATGCTCTGTTCAGAGGAGCAGACGACGCAATGAAAAGCTTTAATCATGCCTTCTTTAGGGACCAATAAAAATGGTTAATAAAGATTTCAGACGATATAGTTGCGGCTACTGAAAAATATACTCATTGTTTCAACAGACTTACCTCATAAACAGCTTCTTCGCAGTTGATCGTATTATGAACGATGTCAAACATGTTGAAAACACTAAATGAAAACAATAAGGACACAACAGAATGGTTATTTGTTACGTTTCCAAATTCAAAGGATGCTGAGCGCGATCAACAGTGTTGATCATCTCGCTGTTCAACCAACAGGCCTGTTTCTGAACGGACCAGCGCTTCAAGAAGTTAAAGCTGACGCTCCCATTCAGATGTGCATGCAGCTCCTGAAAATCTGTTTAAAATGGCGATCACAAAGAACAAACATTCACACCGCTTTCGGCATCTGGACGCACAGACAGTCACGTGATTCCATTTCAAAAGCATTCGGCATATAAGTGAATAAAGGCAGTCACTTACCTAAGAGCTAATCTAAACGCCGGATAACGAATAAGGAATTACGTCAAATAGAGGCCATCTCAGAAATGTACACTTACTCGTAAGTACATGAAGAAGGCCCTTTGAACACCGTTTTGGCTTAAATGGTTTTGGACTTTAAGTCGTTCGCGAATCATGATCAAAATATGCCTGTAAAATACGAAATATCAACGGCCTGTACGTCAATGTCCAAGAGGCTTGCTTCAAAGCAAAACATATATGTCAGTGGCAGACCGTATATGGTCACAGAAGCGATTTCTCAACGATTTTTTAGCATGTTTAACCTGCACAGTTAAGCGATTTATAACTTTCTGGACGTTTCGGATCATACGGTCTATACTTTTCGATAACATAAATGATAAACAGTTTGCAAAACCGGTTAAATCAGAAAATACGGTGTGGTTTACAAGGTATCATTTAATATTGTTATTAAATAACACACCAGTATTAGCCTTAAAAATTATTTACACCAATATTAGTTACATGATATTCGACAACACCGTTTAACTTGTTCTTCATACTGCTCGTGCGTTACGACACCAGAACATAGATCCAGTACCATTCAAAACGTCGGACAGTCTGTTAACGGCATAACGACGCGAAACAAAACTTCTAGACAATGTTGAAAGAAAAACTATTTGCCTGCACAAATAACTTTACAATATTCTTGAAAGAAAAAATTATACAATTCAACACGCATAAACCGAATACAGCCTCGCGCCATTACCTTCACTGCCCCCCCCCCTTTTAATTCAGATTACTGAAATGCAAACATTGAGAACGATACCGAAATAAATGCAATCAAAATAAAGCTCTATTGACGAAATTATGACAATATTACCTCTATCCTTACAAAACTCCTTTACCTTAGCGGTGAACACGGTTTAAAAATTTGACCCAATGTTTATCTGCAAAACGAAACAAAAAGTGATAAACACAGAATGATTTTCAATAGTGATCTGCAATTACTAATAAACTGCTTACCACGCATACAACTCCGTTAACGAACTACAAAGTAATACTCGGTTAATTTATCCAGTTCTGTACAACTTAGTCAAACGCATGCAAAAACTCTTCTTGTTCAAGACATTTCACTTTGCATTATGGCGCAGTCAGTTGAAATTGTTTGAAAAACAGAATCCTTATTAAAACTCGATCTGCTATGATGTAGATTTATAGTGTGTTTTTAAGAAAATGTGAGGCATGTGCATAACAAAAACCGATGCGCTTTTATTTAGATGTTCTTTTTCCTGCTGATTTTTTCAATGTGTACCTTGTCGCGATTTCTGTATTAAGCTTTGCAAACTACATTTAACACTTCCAGGCCAATTGGTATATACTTTTTCACTAGAATGCCCTCCCAATGTACTGCCAGTCTTGTAGCAGACCCTAAGCTCTATGTTATTATCATATTTCATGATATGCTGAGATACCTGTGTATGAATGGTAAAATTACCATTGGTTCACATGAACTGATCATCTTTAAGTTTGGTCTGGGGTATAAACATTCCTTGTCAAGGATCCGCTTTCAGTAACCGTTCTTCAGAAGCGCTTGTTGATGATGTTGAATTTCTGCGTTTAGGCTAGAAGTGTTAGTGCAAGTCTTTTAGACTTATAGACATATGTTCTTTATCACATCCCTCAGCAGCGATGGTGGAGCAGGATAGGACACATGACGCCGAGTGTCGACATGGATCAGAGAGTGTTGATTTCTGACATGCGGAAACCTCAAATTCAAACGATGGCATCGTCTTCACCAGCATGTCCAGAAAGAATATAGAGTGGCAGCTTCCACTTCAGCAGTCAAGCGAATTCTGCCTTTTCTATCTTGTCGGCTTAACGCAACTCACGAAGCATTCAACCCTTAGGTTCGCCCCTAAG